ACTGGAGGAATGTACCCACTGGTTATATTTCAGTCATTTTCACTGCCAGCAATGTAGGTGTAGCACATTCTACTTTTGAAGTTTGTAAAATCTTTAGTGCTTATTCAGTAAAATCAACACTACGCCAGCAAAAAGAATGTATAATTAGCACACAACTATCTCTCTGTTGACCTGAAATTTTAAAATGCTTGGAAGGCAGCATTACCCCAGGTGAGAGTGTCATATGGAGACTGTCTAGAAAGGACTATATCACTGGCAGCTAATGCTTGCGACATAAACCATACAATTACTCTTACCTTCGAGTGATACTGCATGCATCAGCAATTTAAAATTTTAGGTCAATAACTGATGGATACACAGATGTGCTGCTCTGACAGATTAGTCCTAAAACGAGTGTTTTTATTGATTTAATGGCATGGGTCAAAAGAAAGCGAGAATTTATTTGACATCCGCATAAAAAGGTCAGACGAAATTAATTAATTGATTACTGGCGAGAGGCTGATCGTCGACAATATTTGGGCAGAAAACACCACAAACAGTACCAAATGTCGTTGTCTCCAACACCAGGAATAAAAAGGCGGTGACCTACTAATCAAGGCATTAAATACAGAAGTTTAAAATGTGTTGTTCACTAATATTTAAGCAACAACACATGTATTTAAGGACAAGCTTTTCATTCCTAGACAACGTGGGCAATATTTTAACGATTTCGGCAAAGTCGCCTAATTTCGAGTTCTCCAGACCTACACTTTAATTTCGAATTACAAATTTCACTCGGTTCCAATAAAAACTCGATATTTATCCATCTGATCATAATTCTCTTGGGGAAAAAAAAGTGGCATGTTGTGTAAAAGAACAATCATTTTAAGTGCACACACAAATGAATACCTTGTAATGCAAAATACGTTCTGATTTCGTCGTAAAATGTTCTGCTTCTAACCACAGGAAGCGTAGCAATCGTTTGGGGCTACACTAAATCAGGCATAACAAAAAAAAAAAAAAAAAGAACACGCTAGAGAGCGGAAATCTATGTGTCTCTCGGTATTTTTTACTCTTCGTGAGAGATTTTGTTGTTGGGGGGGGGGTATCTGCCCGAAGAGACTGAATTGCAAAAATAGTAAAAAGTTTGAAGTCAGTAGGAGCATAAGAGATACAAGCACAGTATTTTCCCATAAGTGTAATGATAGCTATTTTGAGTTTACTGACTTTGTGCTTCTCAATCAAATGGCGGAAACACTACAAAACCAAACAGATGCAGGCTATAACAACGACATGTCATACCAACATGTTTCATTAGGATATGCGCAATTTTTGCCAGATTTCAGTATACATAAAAGCTTTTACTGAAATACGTGTCTAAATTTTAAAATGACTATTACATGTATTTCTAAGAGTATGATTTGATGTAGTGTATTTGATAGATTAATTAAGGAACATAAGAGTGCTTATTGACCGCTCGAAGAAAAAAAAGACTGGGCCAACATTCGTTAACATGTATATTTATAAAAAAAACGTTGATTTTTTTCTTCCTTGTGTGTGTGTGTGTGTGTGTGTGTGTGTGTGTGTGAGAGAGAGAGAGAGAGAGAGAGAGAGAGAGAGAGAGAGAGAGAGAGAGAGAGAGAGAGAGATCCATCATTGACACAAAATTGTTTTATATGGTGCTGATATTTTACAATAAAGCAACATAGATGTATATATACATTATTCATGTCAACGTAGTCATGTCAAGAGGTTACCATTGGTAACTCGTTTTGTTGACATGAATGACTTCGTCTAGATCTAGATCACATGTGCAATAGAAATATCGTGTTATGCAGATGCCAGCTTCCATGATGTTGAAACAATATAAAGGATATCCCAAGTGGATAAATTCTCCGAAACCACTCCACCACAACCTGTTACGTGTCTAGGCTCTTACAACCATAACGGAAGATGCAGAAGACAATAATATTTGTAAAATTGAACATATTACTTATTTCCCTAGAAAACCAAGGTAAAAATGAGGAAAAGAACTTACGGATTTACGAATCAAAGTCAAAATTATTACAAGAATTAAAATATAGTCCTCCTATTATTAAATAGTCCAGAATGAATCTGAGTTCGAGTCCCAATGAAATCCAAAATGGAAGGTGATGACGTCTGTTGTAACCCCTTATGTGCTGTTTTGTCAGCTGTTCTTTGTTAAATCACAGAAAATAATATTTCAGTTTTTATTTCAGAATAAATTTCAGTGAATGTCTTGTCCAAAAATTTTGGTCGGAGTACTTATATATTTCCAGAGAAAAGAATCATTTAATTCCATTAAAATAAAAATTTCAACTCAAACTGGTCACAACAAAACACCTTTAAGTGTCAATGGTTTGGAGCCCGAATAAACAATCTGTATAAAGACAAGTTATACAAACGTTCAAGACGCAAAACAGATTCCCGGATGAGGGTCAATGGTCATCTTCTAGAACAAAATATAAGCTTTTAACAGGCCTAGCATCATGTATTTCCTGTATGGCCTTAACTGAAATCAAATGGTTCTTACTCTGGGAAAGAAAAAAAAAAATTTAAAAACCTGTTTACCAGAACTGCTACTGTGTCTGAATCAAGGTTAGAAAACTAGATGCAGTGTTTCTATTATTATAACAGTCAGGTCAAACAAAATTTAACTGAATTTCTGGAAACTGTCAGATCCAGTAAAAAAACTACCTTATAATAGCATGTAATGGAATACAAAAAAGAAATAAAACTACAAACAAATAATTAAATATTCATAACAAACCACACCTCCCTAGTTACTTAAATGCTTAACGGATTATGGAACGGAGCAGATTACAGAGAGGATTATGGAACTGATTAGGGAAGGAATTTTAATGTTCTTTATTATGGTAATCTTTGTAAGGCAAGCACCATCTGCTTCTAAGCAAAACCCGTCTACTTTCGCCCTTGTGAGCGGTAGTTTACAAGCATGTTTTACAATACAAGAAGATAAAATGTTGTGATTTGATGGTAACAGCAATCATTCATAACTATAAATGACAATGGATTTGCATAGTCATGTCAAAATGACGTCTAAAATAAAGATTAAATGTTTCTGTTGTTATTTTTTTTTTTTTTGATCATCCAATGCCATTATCATACATTTATAAACCAGGGTTCAAACTAGCTTTTATTGAAGATTTTAAAATCAGATTTGTATTATTAAAGGTAAGGTATTATTAGCGATTATAAGAAATTTCATCATTCGCATTGAATACATGGAGCAAAGACAGAGCGACAAACAACAAAAAATAAATTAACTGAAATATACTTGATTTTGAAGATAAGATTACATATTGATGGCATGTTAACCGCTTTCTTGATCAGGTTTTGTAAGAACTTCAAGGAAGAATATCAATTGAAAGGGGAAAAAATAATTTAAGTACAAGATAAAAGAAAGATTTTCTGAAAATTTGTTGATTTAAATTAATAATTTCCAGTGTCAGAATCTCAAAGACTTCTGTGGATTAAAAAATAGAGTAAGGTTATAGTAAACCAAATATATTTTCTTACAATTAATTCAGATATCTTTATCTTTTAAATGCTATACGTCACTATCAGACAACGATTGGAGCTCATAGACGCGTATACAGCACTATCAAACAACGGTTAGAGCTTTATAGATGCGTATACGTCGCTATAAAATTTTATGGATGCATTACGTCACTATAAAACAAACATAATATTCAAAGGGATAGGAATGTTGATACACGCGCTAAAATTACTTACGTGCTTACTACTCCACACACACTTTGTTATTACAATCCAAATTATTGTTATTACAATCCAAATTATTGTTATTACAATCCAAATTCACATCCCTATTACCAAACAAAAAGGACAGGAGTGTTTATATAGACGCTATATCCTCACACAAACATACCATACCATCACAAACAAAAAGGACAGGAGTGTTTATATATATACGCTATATCCTCACACAAACAAAAAGGACAGGAGTGTTTATATAGACGCTATATCCTCACTCAAACATACCATACCATCACAAACAAAAAGGACAGGAGTGTTTATATAGACGCTATATCCTCACACAAACATACCATACCATCACAAACAAAAAGGACAGGAGTGTTTATATAGACGCTATATCCTCACACAAACATACCATACCATCACAAACAAAAAGGACAGGAGTGTTTATATAGATGCTATGTCCTCACAATACAATGTTAAAGAATAAAATATGTCCTCTATAAATATATAAAAATGTTAAAGAATAAAATATGTCCTCTATAAAGTGTTTATATAAAAAAAAAAAATTGTTATTACAATCCAAATTATTGTTATTACAATCCAAATTATTGTTATTACAATCCAAATTCACATCCCTATTACCAAACAAAAAGGACAGAAGTGTTTATATAGATGCTATATCCTCACACAAACATACCATACCATCACAAACAAAAAGGACAGGAGTGTTTATATAGATGCTATGTCCTCACACAAACATACCATACCATCACAAACAAAAAGGACAGGAGTGTTTATTATTATTATTTATTATTGTTATTACAATCCAAATTATTGTTATTACAATCCAAATTATTGTTATTACAATCCAAATTCACATCCCTATTACCAAACAAAAAGGACAGAAGTGTTTATATAAACGCTATATCCTCACACAAACATACCATACCATCACAAACAAAAAGGACAGGAGTGTTTATATAGATGCTATGTCCTCACACAAACATACCATACCATCACAAACAAAAAGGACAGGAGTGTTTATATCGACACTATATCCTCACACAAACATACCATACCATCACAAACAAAAAGGACAGAAGTGTTTATATAGATGCTATGTCCTCACACAAACATACCATACCATCACAAACAAAAAGGACAGGAGTGTTTATATAGACACTATGTCCTCACACAAACATACCATACCATCACAAAAAAGTAGAAGTGTTTATAGATGTGTTCTACTTACGTACACCGTTTAGGTGGCACAGTGGTTAGAGAGTCCACCTATAATGCTGGAGGTTGCAGGTTCGAACCCTGGCTAAGACAAAGAGTTATAAAATGGTACTAGCAGCTGCCTTGATAGGCTCTCAGCATTAGGAATTTGGTGTTATGACTGGTCGGCTTATTGTCAGGATAATGTGACTGGGTGTGACATGATGCTACATGTATGTGGTATGATGCCCAATGCTAGATATAACTATAAACTGTCACACTTTAGACGTCTTAGTGATATGACTGACAAAATTTAAAAGCTACTTTAAAAATAAGAAAATAACACACACATTACTAACATACAAACATATCATCCGACATGACATACATACATACATACATACATACATACATACATACATACATACATACATACATACATACATACATACATACATACATACATACATACATACATACATACATACATACATACATACATACATACATACATACATGAAAAATGCAATGTTGAACTTGGTTAGATGCTATCTAAGACACATGCCCTAATGTTACTAGCCAAACACACACACACACACACACACTGCCTAGCACCCGCTTTTTGTATTACAAACCAATATATATATACACACACTATCCAGAACCCGCTTTTTGATTTCTATCAAAGGCAAACCACCCTATCTAGTACCCGCTTTTAGATATATTATCCAACAAACTCCGTGCATTCCAGCAAACACACATCTATCCAACGAATACATCAAAACCGTCAATGACTACATCAATGTTAATCACAGAGACGTCACAACAGCAGCAGCAATTATTGCAACTATTAATGATAACAAAGGAGTATGAATTGTCCGTGGATAAGTATAAAGAGATTTAAAGCTGCTAATGTAAAGATCATAAGTTATTTTGCTATGCCCCCCCCCACAAAACAAGCACAAAAACCTAAAGAATCGAAGGAAACAAAAGCGCCCATGGCCCGTTTCTGGGTTACCTATATCTCTAACAAAAAAGATACTACTCAGCGATGGCCAAGTCAAATAAAACTTAAATTCCTCCAAGATACAACGTGTCCATGTTTGAGTGTGTTTGAGTATTTAATACCAAACACATTGGTATATTCTTGTAAAATCAGAAACATCATCTCTCTCTCTCTCTCTCTCTCTCTCTCTCTCTCTCTCTCTCTCTCTCTCTCTCTCTCTCTCTCTCTCTCTCTCTCTCTCTCTGACATAATTTTTGCCTCTAGTTTTTTTTATTTGTCTTGCCTGTTTTGAATTTTTTGATAGGTATAGGTTTTCTTACTTGCCCTTTATCTTGATTTTGACAACAGTTATTTTTACTTTTGTCTTTTATCTTGTCTTGTTTGTTCATTTTCTTTAACATTGTAGACATTCTAGAGAGCACTGTCCTTTTCCTTGACTTTTATCTGGAGAGGGAATGGCTTGGAAGTGTACCTTGTAAATCTCTGACAAGAAGGTAGATCAGTTTTGACTCCCCCATCTTTACAATATGAAAACAGGATGAGTGAAAATGAAAATTTTAAAAATAATAATTAGGAAACCCAAATTCAAAAGTAGAAATTATAAATTACAAAATAAAAGAAAACAAAAGATTTATAAAATCAAAGATCAAAAACTTAAATTTGAAAGTGAAAAATGAAAATAAAAATATAAAAAGAAAATATTTAGAAAAATTAAATTTGAAATACAAAACTTATATTAATGAAAATTAAATTTGAATATAATCATTTAAATTCAAATTAAAAAATGAAACTCAGAAATGAAAAATTTTAAATTAATATTGAACACGAAACTTAAAAAGTGAGAATTGAAGAAAATATTTAGTTTGAAAAATTAAACTGAAAATGATAATTGAATAATGAAGATGAAATAATAAACATGACAATTGAACATGAAGCATCAAATTTAAAAAGATGAAATTTTAAAAGAATTTCAAAATAAAAAAGAAAATGAAATTAGGAAAAGAAATTTGAAAATGTAAATTGTAATAAGTTTGAAATTGAAATTGAACAATTACATTAAAAAAAACTACATGTACTCAAAAATGAAAAATTTCATAAAAAATGTAAATAAAAATTGAAAATGAAAATATAAAAAATGAAAATTGAAAAGTTGAAAAAATCCCCACTGAAAAACTACATTTGAAAATGAAAATTGAAAATAAAAAATTAACACAAAAATTAAAAACAAAAACAAAAACAGACTTCTAAAAAAACTCAGTTCAAACTTTAAAGTTTGCTTTTAAACAAATTGTTAGAAATACTGTACAAGGAAAATAGACAAAATCACATTTTTTTGGCCACTTAATTCCATTTGTGATAGTATATTCCTATGTTTGCAGGTATAGTGCATTTAAAAGCTCTCCTACACTTGCTTGTGTGTGATAGCGTGTGTGTCTGAATGTGTTAAACCTGTGGATATTTTTAACATTGTATTTAACATTAGAGGTCAAATGACCATAACCTGAAAGTTTAGCCTCAATGATACATTCCCATATTCTAAATTAACCAAGGGTCCAGAATTATCATATATTACCTACTTACTAGAACTAGACTTTTTGCATATCCATTTCTTAATTTTATTTTACTTACAACCACTCCAGTCTTTTGAACAACAGCTGTGATGCCTATCTATCTAGTCTAGTATCTAGAAAGATTCATAATATTTGATGATAAGATTTATGCAGTCTACAGTCTTAAACACCACTGTAAGTAAATATTGGAATTCACATCTATATTCAGAAGAACAAATTGAATGCCTGGTACGTGGCTTTCCATGAAAACAATAGAATTAAAAAAGTTCTCTGATCACCATTACACTGGTTTGCCTTGTCTAAAGAAGGCTGCTGGCCATTTTTATCAATTATTATCACTATGTGTGATATTTCACATAGTCTGGTTCCTGCTTTGTATGCTTCCTGCATTACACTCCATTATAGCGGAGTTTAGTGCAGTGTGCATTGAAGTAGGAAACCAGACTATGTTTCACAGAAGCAAAAAGTACTAGCACCATTGTCAAATGGACACTTTAGAAAAGTATACCTCCTGAGCTGCCAGAATGCACTTTGCACAGATTCAAGTGAAACACAAAGAACAATATATCTGAATGTTATAAGAAGACTAATTACTTTGAAAATGCCATGCCACGACTTTTGTCAGTATTACAACAAGTTCCATAGACAAAAGTCAGTGACACTGTTCATGATTTAGGGAATTACTAAATACTTAAAAAAAACAACTGACTCCACCAGATGAGAAGATGATTTGTTTGAATTTCGGATCTCATCTCATGTCCTCTGTGTGTGTGTGTGTGTGTGTGTGTGTGTGTGTGTGTGTGTGTGTGTGTGTGTGTGTGTGTGTGTGTGTGAGTGTCTGTGTGATCTTATTCATTTAAATAAACAGATCAAGACATAGAGACACATTTTTATTTTTGTATATTCTTGTGAATAAGAATCAAGCTTCAAAACACAAAATCCATATGAAAACTCAAACAACGGTAAGATTTTAAATATGCATGGTAATTTAATGGCATATCCATGGTGTTGCCAACTGATTTGCTTAGCCTTGAACTTGAGATTTTGCTTGGAATTTTAAATAAAACAAAATGAGCATCAAGACTGGTGAAGCAATGGGCTTTACTTTCTTGAAATAAGTAAAGCAAATAATACAGGTATGATGATATTGTTGGTTTCATGTGAAACAAACTTTAATTTCTTCTTTGTACTATATTAACATGTCGTACAACATGACAAGATGTGTTTGATGAGTCAGACATGTTATCATTGTCTTTGTGAGGTATATACTTATACAAACAAAATGGACTCTCTTTAACTTATTAGGAGCAATGTGCATGAGAATTGCAACTCTTTTCAACACCAAGATACTCTTCAGAGTACCTTTAAACGAAAGTAATATGTGTGTGATTATATATCTGACAAATCTGGATTTGCCCAAACTACTCAGTCCATTTTAAAGTGGTTCCCAACTTTTATGATCTGATCTTTTGAGAACAGAGCATGTAGCCATAATGCCATACCTTTCAAGTTGCATTTGGAATGAGGACCAAGAACAAGTGTTGATAGGAGCATGGAAGTGTCAAACTGTTTTATGCTTTTCAATTGTTGATAGCGCTTATTCAAACTGTATGAAATTTGGTGCTTTTCTACCAAAGAAAAATACCAAGAGGACAATAAATTGTGTTGTGGGCTTTCAGACGACATTAACAAATGTTTGACACTGAAGAAAGAGCCAGGTGCTACCCTTCCTTGTGCCAAAGAAGGCATCACCTTGGAACATATCAAACAGAATGAAGGAAGATGATCCATTGTTCAAGTCATGCTAAATTGTTTGCAGGTAACTTGCTCAATTTTCATTACATTTGCAGCATCTGGGTAAAATACTGTTACGATAAGGATAGAGTTTTATCTTTGTATCTTAGGAGACATCAACAAACTTAAAAAAGAACAAACAATAACAAATGCCATATCTGACACAAGGCCAATACAAAACTCGCCAGCCATTTCAACTCAGCCAGATACATTACCCAATCCCTTGAACTGCTACCCTTCAAGCCAAATCAGAGATAGACAGACCATAAACATGACCATAATAGAAATATTTGATGCTGAATATGTGAACACATGGTGAATTTGACTCAACAGAAAATCCATAGTTAACAAGTGCTCTGTTTAACCTTTCATGTATCATTTTCTTCCTGTTAGTTATTATTATTATTATTATTATTATTATTATTATTATTATTATTATTATTATTATTATTATTATTATTATTATTATTATTATTATTTGTTTCCTCTACCTTTCCTTATAATGTCAATGCGTTAAAATCTTTGCTTCTTGTAGTGAGAATTATATTCAGAACAAAAAGCTAGAAGCAAAAATTAATATACTGCAACAGATGGCATTTCATCTTCTCACAATTTACTTACACAAATCACTGATGCCAGGTAGTACTGTATTCACTTGTTTAAAATAAGTCTTGCATTTTGGGGCTACAAAAAGCAAATTTCTCTTTTCCAAGACAGATCTGTTGGAAGGGGTTGTTTGTCAG